ATATGTTGCCATCATTCTTTTCAGAACATTTTCTTTCTACTTGAGTCCTTGGTATCAGCTCCTCATTTTCCCCCCTGTAAACAGCAGGTATTTCAAAACACACACATTTTCTCCAGTAATAACGTTATACCTCAAATTATATTCTGCAACTTCCTTTTTGAGGGGGCTAATTTGTACCTGTTATGAACTGTTGTCAAGTTGGTTCTGACTCATAGCAACCCTATTACAATAGAACAAAACCTTGCCCGTTCCTTCACCATCCTCACAGTCATTGTGATGTTTCAGCCAATGGGGCAGGCACTGCGCCACTCCCTCTCTTGGGGGTTTTCCTCTTTTTCAAAGATTCTTGACTTTACCAAGCCTGGCATCCTTCTGCAAGGACTGGTCCTCCTGATAACATGTCCAAAATATGTCAGACCAAGTCTCACCATCTTTACTTTGAGGAAGCATTCTGGCTGTACTTTTTCAGAGACCGATTTGTTCCTTCTTCTGGCCAGAATACCATGGTAGAGTATGGTCTATTCAATATTCTTCAGCAGCACCATAGTCAAGGACATCAGTTTTTCTTTGATCTTCTTTATTGTTCAGCTTTTGCATGCATACGGGGTCACTGAAAGTAGCATAGCTCAATGAGGAGCTGATACCAAGGGTTCAAGTAGAAAGAAAATGTTTTGAGAATGATGATGGCAACAAATGTACAAATGTGCTTGACACAATAGATGTATGGATGGATTGTGATAAGGGTTGTACAAGCCCCCAATAAAATGACTTTAAAAAGAAAAAAGAAAGAATGAATGAAATAGAGTGTATAGCTCAGGTCAGGTGCACTTTAGTCCCCAAAGTGACATATTTGCTTTTTAACACTGCAATAAATTGATCTTTTTGCAACTGATTTCCACAAAGCAATATGTTTGATTTTTTTTTTTAACTACTGCTTCCAGGTTTTTGATTGTGGGTCAAGTAAAATGAAATCCTTGACAACTTCAGTCTTTTTTCCAGTTATCATGATGTTATTTATTGGTCCACTTGTTCAAATTTTGGGGTTTTTTTT